CACGGTGCAGCAGGACAGGATGCAGTGGGACACGGTGCAGCGCGATGCGGTGGCGCAGTGCAAAGGGACACGGTGAAGCAGGACAGGACGCAGCGGGATGCAGCAGGACATGGTGCAATGGTCGGGCCGCGTCGGGCTGCAGCGACACTCACCCAAATCCTCGATCTTCACCTCGGGCCGCAGCGTGAGCTGGGGCAGGGTGGGCGCCAGCTTCTCCCCGGTGTGAGCTGCTGCAAAGGGAGAGAGGGGCTGGGCTGAGGCTGGCGGCAGCGGGGGGGCCGGGCGCGCCCCCCGCCGCGGTACTCACTGGACGCGCAGCACACGAACACCTTCATCTTCAGGCAGGCCCGGCGGTGGTTGTGCGTCGGCGTGGCTGCAAGGACAGCGGCGTGGGCACCGGCACCCCCATCCCGCATTCCCATCCCGCATCGGAGCCTCCACCCGCATCCCCGTCCTGCAGAAGCACTTTCACCTGCATCCCGCATCTCCATCCTGCACAGGCGACCTCACCAGCATTCTGCATCCCCATCCCGTGTCCCTATCCCATGTAGATGCCTCCACCACCCTCCTGCATTCCCATCCTGCCTCGCCATCCCTGAAAGGTGCCTCCACCACCATCCCGCATCCCTCTCCCACACAGGTGCCTCCAGCAGCATCCTGCATGCCCATCCCGTGTCCCTATCCCACATCCCCATCCTGCATAGATGCCTCCAGCACCACCCTATATCCCCATCACGTGTCACCATCCTGCAAAGGCAACTCTATCAGCATCCCCATCGTGCACCCCAACCCCACCCAGGCGCCCCCAGCAGCATCCCCGTCCCGCACCCACGTCCACGCACAGATGTAGTAGTACTCCTGCCCCGCGTGGAACTCGTAGCCCAGCGAGAAGGCGCTGTAGCGCTGGAACTTCTCCGAGAACTTGATGGGGCTGTGGGGCGCATGGGGCCGGTTGCACTCCCAGCGCTTGAAGCCCTGGCTGGTGTTGCAGGTGCGGTAGCCCTCCGCGTTCACCATGTAGAGCACGTACTGCTCCAGCCGGTGCTCGGCCACCGACGCGTTGTAGTGCGGGCAGTAGATGTCCAGGTAGTCGTTGACGTTGACCTGCACGGTGTAGCCCTCCCGGCGCAGGCTGCGAGCAGAGCGGGGACGTCAGGGTCCTGGTGGGCAGCAGCGGGGCATCC